GGTGACAGAGAGGGGAGGCTAAGACCATAGGGGCCATTTGAGGTATGTAGTGGGGATCTGGGGGTGCGAAGGAAGAGACAGACGTTAGGAACCTCCCCAAGCTTCTGGTTTTGTATGCTGGGGTAAGTTGAGGAGTCTGTTTCTCATTAAGTACAGAGAGGGTTTCATCACTTACAGGAAAACCACCCGCTTATCTGAAATCTGACCTACTTCGGGTTGGAGCCAGACAGGGCTCCTGCATCCCACGGGGACACTCAGGCTGTAGTTGTCCAAATCCGTGCATCCAGTCAAGCCTTCAGCAAGGAGCTTCAGCCCCATTATGCTCCCAGTGGTAACAGGCACTGGGGCTCAGGGGGGTGAGATCCTGTCCCTTTGGGATGTCGCAGGTGGTGAGGTGGGCTCAGCAGGGCCTAAAATCTCAAGTTCCAATGAGTCCAGTGCTTCTTTATATCCAGTATGCTTCAGATGCCGCCCTGCCCCTGTGAGTTGCCACACTCCTGGGATTCAACTTTCTCATTTTAGGGGCTGTGCCATGATGTAGCTGGAAGTGCTCTGGGCTAGGAGGCAGAAGATGTTGAGAGGGAGAGTCCCAGGGTCTTCTGGAAATGGACAGAATTGGGCTCGATACCTCTAAGGGTCCTCTTGCCTCCCACTTTCTTCAGTTCACTCAAGTAGTCTTAAGCCACATTTTGTTTAAAAGCCACTTTTTAGTCCTACAAAGATGGCATTTTATTTTGTGGTTGGAATTTCCTGGTCACTGAGAAATACCTAACAGAAAATGGATAGCCTTCATTTGGGAGGGCTTCCTGGAGGTGGTAGCCTCAAGTTCCGATGAACAGAAGGCAGAGACAGGAATGAGGGAGAAATAAGCGACAGTTGGTTAAAATTAGCACGGCAGCAACAGGCAAGGGGCAGAAGGAGGAAGGTGTGAAGGCCTTGGTCAGAAATGGATCCAGTTAGCACTGGAAGATGTTGGAGGGGCTGGGGCAAAGCTGGGTGTGCAGTGTCGCATTGACCAGGATGGTGGAGCTGGAGAAGCTGAGGTCGACAAGGATCACAGAGACGATGACGTTGTCGTGAAGAGGGTGTTTCAGTGCCTCTGCAACCCCCTTCAGAGGGGCCAGCCACATCTTCACTCCAGCTGGGGTGCTGAGCTCGCTGTCCAAGAAACCCAGTGTATCAAGGAGTAGTTGAAGTTCAGTGGTGCCTGGGGGAAGTGGCAAGGATGCTGGAACGTCCTGGAACGCTCTGGGCTGCGTGCTCCTGTCTGCCTCTTTTTATCCCTTTCCCTGTAGGTTCAGCTGGCTTTTTTTACTGTCTCGATCGAGTTATAACAGCTCTTTTTTTTTTTTTTTTTTGAGTCGGAGATTTGCTCTTGTTGCCCAGGCTGGAGTGCAATGATGCGATCTCAGCTTACTGCAACCTCAGCCCTCCGGGCTCAAGCAGTTCTCCTGCCTCAGCGTCCCAAATAGCTGGGATTACAGGCCCCTGCCACCACGCCCGGCTAATGTGTTTGTATTTTTAGTAGAGACGGGGTGTTGTCATGTTGGCCAGGCTGGTCTCACATTCCTGACCTCAGGTGATCCGCCCACCTCGGCCTCCCAAAGTGTTGGGATTACAGGCGTGAGCCACCATGACTGGCCTAGGTTCAGCTTTCTTTCAGGCGAAGACTCGATGACCAGCCCCTGCCCCTCCCCGAGTGGGTTCATGGGGTGTGATGTTAACTCTTTAGTCCCCCTGAGAAGCCCCTGAGCCAGAGTTACAGATCTTACTGAGACTGCTGCCTTAGTTGAGGGAGTGGATAGGATGAAAGGGGCAGCTCAGGGGAGGCTGGAGCAGGAAAGAGCCATCAGGGGAAGGCGTGGTGCTGAAGGGGATGGGGCTAGAGGGCAGAGCTGGACCCTGTAGTGGGCACAGTGCCCTCTGCTCACAGCAAGGTCTTCCATGTGCTGTGACAGGGTGAGAGGCTGTCCTTTCACAGATCTGGGAATGGGCTCAGCCAGAGAGACTCTGCCTGGAGGAGACAGGAGGAAGGATGGAATGGCCACGGGAAGACTGAGGCGGTGAGAAATGCCCTCCCCCTCCCGGCATGTGGAGTCTGGCTCAGCATAATTGCCCCAGTTCCCTTTTCCTGTACAGTTACTCAGCTTCTCCCTCCTGAGGTCTCACCGCAGCCCCAGGCCTCAGCTTGGAGGAAAGTGAACAGGGTGGTGCAGTGGTGCAGGGGTGCCCCTCATGAGGGGAAGGAAGGTTCTGTCACCTTGGTCTTCAGGGCTGGGCCTGCATCTGTGGCCCTCAGCAGGACCGGGACCTTATCCTTTGGCCTAGGAGGGGCCCCGTGGTATTTGGAGGAACACAGTTGGGATGACAAGATCCAGTCCCTGGGCCTGACTGTATCTAGCTCCCTGTCACCTTCCCTCTCTAGAGCTCAGTTTCCTCTTTAGTTGAGCCAAAAACTCTGTCATCAAGGGTCTCTGAAGTCCCTTCTAGCCCCAGCAGTACTGCTTTTCAAAGCCCTTCACTTGCCTGGTCTCATCTGTGCCACGAGACCCTGTGTGCAAATGAGGCATATCTCCATTGCATAAGGAATGGAGCGAGCAGTGGATCCGAAAAGGGGCTCCCTGCCGAAGGCTGCGCCACTAGTCCACGACAGACCCAGGGTCTTGGTGCCATAGCTTCATCTGCGTTCCAGTACCCCTTTGGTGTGTCCACCCATGTTCTGTGGAGCTGCAGAAGGAAGGAGAGGGTCCCTAGGTCCTGCCCTGCCCCTGGCTTTGCTCCTGCCCCTGTTCTGCCCCAGGCTTTCTCCTCCAGAAACACCACGTGGGTCACTAGGCATTTTCTGGCCCCCTCCCCACACCTGCCCATTCTGTTACACCCCTAAGTCTGAGGAAATCTCTTCTCTGACTTCCTGATTCCTGTCTCTTGCGGTGCAATAAATACGCCACTCTTTTCTGCCTCCTCCCCTGCCCCAAGGAATCAGCCATGAGTTAACTGGCTCCCTGTGTCTAATCTGAGACCTTTCTGGCACTTCCAGCCTCCTCCCTGATTTCAGCAAAGCCATCTGCTCCTCCCTCCCTGCCCCTCTGCCTCCCTCCCCACCTCTCCTCTTGCTTAGGAGGGTGTTGAGATCTGAGGTCTAAACAAAGGGAAGTGGAACCCCAACTCTGTTGACTCAGCACCGTATTTCTCCTTAAGCTGATTAGCACTGGAGTGGAAAGGAGGGGAATTGGCCAGTCACTGGAGCTGGCATCTGGGCCAGGCTGGGGGTGGTGTGGTGGTGGCAATGCCCAGGCCTACGGACTGTGGCGTAAGGAAAGGGTCTGGAAGATTCTTGTGTCTCAGGTAGGTACAGGGCCCCTGACCGGCTGATGCCAGGACTGGACTCTTGCAGGAGTGAATGTGAAAAGAACAGCCTGCACAGATGGGACCACAGGAGTCCCCAAGCCTGGGCAGCTGTGGAGGGTTTCATCTCAGCTCTGAGCCCTGAGGACAATCCAGGGGCAGACACAGCCCTGCCTTAGAAAGCCCTCTGTCTTGCTGGGTGTGGTGGCTCACAGCCCTAATCCCAGCACTTGGGGAGGCTGCCACAGGAATATATAACTTGAGGCCAGGGGCTTGAGACCAGCTCTGGCAACGTAGTGAGACCCTGTCTCTACAATTTTTTTTTTTCCCTGAGATGGAGTCTTGTTCTGTTGCCCAGGCTGGAGGACAATGGTGTGATCTCAGCTCACTGCAACCTCTGCCTCCTGGGTTCAAGTAATTCTCCTGCCTCAGCCTCCTGAGTAGCTAGGATTACAGGCATGTACTGCCATGCCTGGCTGATTTTTGTGTTTTTAGTAGAGATGGGGTTTCACCATCTTGGCCAGGCTGGTCTCGAACTCCTGACCTCAGGTGATCCACCTCCCAAAGTGCTGGGATTACAGGTATGAGCCACCGTGCCCGGCTAAAAACATTTGTTTTTAAATTAGCCGGGCATGGTGGTGCACACCTGCAGTCCCAACAACTTGGGAGGCTAAGACAGGAGGATCCGTGAGCCCAGGAGTTCAAGGCTGCAGTGATCTATGATTGTGCCACTATACTCCAGCCTGGGCGACAGAGCAAGACCCTGTCTTAAAAAAAAAAAGTCCCCAGTCTGAGACAAAAGTAAGACCTAGGGTACACGCCAGAGCCCCAGAGTGTACAGCTTTGCACGAGGACAGGAGGCTGGCTCTTTAGTGGGTCTGGGCAGAGAATGGGGAAGCAAGAGGGACAGGGGAGAGAATGGGGTCCTAATTGAGGCAAAGGGCCTAAGCCCAAGAGGCTAGAAGATGAGAGTCCTGGAGCCAGTTCCAAGGGGATTCCTGTCCTCTAAGGGCTCACACACACATCTTCCTTCTCCCAGTCCTGTACATGGCAGAGAGGGTTGCAGAGGAAGTGAAGGGGCTGTCTCAACTGCTCCCCTCTCTGCCCCTCTTCCTTTCTTTCTTTCTTTTTTGTTTTTGAGACGGAGTTTCACTCTTGTTACCCAGACTGGAGTGCAATGGCGCAATCTCGGCTCACCGCAACCTCCGCCTCCCGGGTTCAGGCAATTCTCCTGCCTCAGCCTCCTGAGTAGCTGGGATTACAGGCACGCGCCACCATGCCCAGCTAATGTTTTGTATTTTTAGTAGAGACGAGGTTTCACCATGTTGACCAGGATGGTCTCGATCTCTTGACCTCGTGATCCACCCGCCTCGGCCTCCCAAAGTGCTGGGATTACAGGCTTGAGCCACCGCGCCCGGCCTGTCCCCCTTTCTTTATGTCTTAGGTGGTGCAGCCACCCCTATGTCCCTGGCTGCCTACTCAACCGTCCCAGCCAGAGAAGGAATACTTTGCAGAGGTCTGAGGCCCTGGCCTTGGTGTCTGCCAGCCCTCAAGCCCCTCCACCTTCACTGCAATGGCAGTTCAACCACTTGCTTTCCACAGTACGAAAGAGAGAAAGTCAGAGACAGAGACAGAGGGAGCCTGGAGGACTTGAATCCCTGTAGGGGGAGGCAGTTGGTGATGATTTATTAGCCAGACAAGAATCAACAAACAAGTTCTAACATCTGTTCTCACCAAACCATTCCTCAGACAACAGCAGCATTGGACCAAGGCCCAGACCCAAAGGCTCAGAGGGCCAAGGAAATTAGACTCCAGGAGGAGAAACCAGGACAGTGGGAGCCAGCAGGGCCCTCCTTGCACACTTCCTTGCTGTCTTAGAGGATCACCAAGCACTGAGCCACTGGATTCTTGGGATCTCAGGAGGGAGCAGACTCCACATTTGCTTCTCTGACCTCCAGGCTTCTTTGGAGGGGGTCAGGCTAGACCTGTCAGGGGGACAGAGTTAAGCTGGGATCCAGAGGAGGGGACCCAGCACCCAGGCCTCCGTGTAGCAGAACTCTGGAAAGCAGCCAGTCTTCCTATTTGAGAAAATCTCTGATGTTTCCTGTGGACTGGAGTTTGTGGATGTGTGGTAAGGAGCAGAGCACTAAACAGGGAATCAGGAAGCCTGGATTCCAGTCCTTGACCTTGGCCAAATCACTGTCCCTCTCGGGCTGTTTCCTTTCCGCATAGTGAGGGGGTTGGACTTGATCAGTGAGGGCAAATGTAACGCTGCTCATCCTCCCGCCCCTACCCGTGGCAGACATCACTAATCAATCATGTGCTTTTTTCTGCTGAGTTCAGATATGACCTTAGCATCCTTTCCAATGCAGCACTCTAGGCAGCCACAACCAATGGATTGGAGTTGGCATGCAAGATGACACCTCTTTGCCATCCTTGCAATAGATGAAGGCTGAGGTCCTTTCCAGCTTTGATCACCTATGGTTTGTTCCATCCACATTTCCTGAGAAGGGTGCCAGGTGTGTGTGAAGGCCTATGGACCTGATGCTCCCAAGTTACCCTCCCCAAGCTCAGACTTACCGCCTACTGAGGAGGCCTGAGAGGGAGCCATGCCTGTCCTCTGTCCTGAAGCTCCTGTCTAGAAAGATTGTGGGGGAGAGTGTGTCTCCAGTTGGGTGGGGGCTGGTGAGGCAGGGGAGGGCCTTGCCCAATCACAGAGATCTCAGAACGCAGCTGGGAGCCACCTGTATTCTGCAGAGAGAAGGACAGTCCAAGGTCACACCTTCTACCCTCTGCCTCCTAGGTGTACCTACAGTCTCAACACATAACAGACTTTGGCTTCCAGAGAGGGTGCCTAAACTCCTCTTATTCATTCATTCATTCATTCAACAAACGTCTCCTGAGCACCTGCTCTGTGCCAAGCTCTGGGCTGGGTGCTTTGGAAACAGATGAGTAAGTCTCAGCTCCTGCCTTCAGGGAGCTCACATTTTAAGCTGGGGAAGGGACAGAGAGAAGGAGATGGGAAGAGATGGGTGTGTTAGGTGATCAGTGGCATGGCAGGTGTCTGGAAAGCACAGGGGTTGGCCTCTGTGGCCTCTGAGAAGGGAAAGCTGGTCCTGAAGCTTTGATGATTAGAAAGTTGCCAGGCAATGAGAGGATGAGCTTGCAGGAAGTTGTTACAGGCAGAGATACTGGTGGGTGCAAATCCCAGGAGGCTTGAAACTACTTGGTGAGTTTAGAGAGATGTGAATCGTTCTAGGAGAATGGGAGCAGCTGGTGGTAAGGTTTTGGAGGTGGGATCCCCTCATCCAAGTCTAGAGTGCATCATGGGCCAGGCAGCTGCTTCAGCAAGACCATCCTGGCTTCTTTGATGCAGAGTGGATCAGAAGTGGCAAGAATGGTGGTTAGGAAACCAGTTAAGAAGCTTTTTCAAGCCGGGCGTGGTGGCTCACGCCTGTAATCCCAGCACTTTGGGAGGCCGAGGTGGGTGGATCACGAGGTCAAGAGATCGAGACCATCCTGGTCAACATGGTGAAACCCCATCTCTACTAAAAATACAAAAAATCAGCTGGGCATGGTGGCGCGTGCCTGTAATCCCAACTACTCAGGAGGCTGAGGCAGGAGAATTGCCGGAACCCAGGAGGCGGAGGTTGCGGTGAGTCGAGATCGCGCCATTGCACTCCAGCCTGGGTAACAAGAGCGAAACTCCGTCTCAAAAAAAAAAAAGCTTTTTCTTGGGGCCAGGTGCAGTGGCTCACGCTGGTAATCCTAGCACTTTGGGAGACCGAGGTGGGTGGATCATGAGGTCGGGAGTTCAAGACCAGTCTGGCCAATATGGTGAAACTCTGTCTCTCTAAAAATACAAAAATTAGCTGAGCATGGTGGTGGGCATACACAGAAGGAGCCACTCGGAAGCCTGAGGCACTTGAACCTGGGAGGCGGAGGTTGAAGTGAGCCAAGATTGCACCACTGCACTCCAGCCTGAGTGACAAAGCAAGACTCCATAAAAAAAAGAAGCTCTTGGGAGCCGGGTGAGGTGGCTCGAGCCTGTAAATCTCAGGTGAGGCGGTAGGATCCCTTGCACCCAGGAGTTCCAGTTTGCAGTGAGCTATGATTGTGCCACTGCACTCCAGCCTGGGTGACAAAGCCAGACCCCAATGATGGGGGCTAGAACTGGGGAAAGGAAAAATATACTTAGGAAGATACCCGGCAGGAACGAGTGGCTTCTGTGGGGAGCGAAGAGGGAGCAGTGCTGAGGGAGCCCTGGGATTCTGGCTTGGATAGCTGGGTGGCTGGAGAGTTATCAGTCAGGATAGGGAACATGGGAAGGAGCCATTCGGAGGGCAAGGGTGAGAGCAGTGTTGGCTGTGTTGAGTCTGAGGGACCGTGGAATGCTGGGGGAACTGACCAGAAGCTTGGAGAGAAGTTTGGATGGACACACGGACAGGGATGTCAGCTCTAGGACAGCAGGCGTCGGCAGGGGTGTGGGTGAGCACCAGCAGGCTCAGGCTGAGGGGGAGCCTGAGGAAGGGTCTGAGGAGGGAGGCTGGGGAAGGGCTTCGGGAGAGCCGCAGAGGCTGAGGGAGAGGGTGGGATGGCTGCTGGGGCTAACCCATGCCATGAGATACTGATGAAGGGTAGGCAAGAAGACTTAGGGGTGGAGAGAAGGAAGAGGGAGATGGGGGTACACAGAAGCAGGCTGGGAGAGCAGAGTCCTCCTCCCGGGAGCTCACTGAGATGATATAAGGGACCCCAAGTGCTCTTTTTCTCCAGGACAGCAGGACCGCGAAGGCCAAGGGAGAGGGCCAGAGAGGCATGGGGTGGGGTCAGCCCCAGGTGCGTCTGAAGAGGTTTAAGGACAAGATGGATGCAGATCAAAAAAGTCTCGATGGGGGAGGCTGAGGGGAACCCTGCCCGGGGCCTCTATTTTCTCCGTGACGTAGGAGGGCATGGGGGCTTGACAAAGGTGAGATCTGAGTGACTCTGGAGAGAAGAGGGGGGCGGCTGGCACCTGGATCATTCTGTCCTTCCCACATCACCTCACACCTCTGTCCTTCACCCTGATCTGGGCATCCACTCCCAACACCTTCTTCCCCTTCCCCGATCTACCTGCAGCGGACCTTCTTGCACCCACCTTTCCTGGCACACCCATTACCTGGCCTCCTGGGACAGGCCTGGACCGGCTTTTCCGTAGGACAGGGTGCCCGAGGGTGGTGGGCAGGCCCTCATCTTCCACCTCCACGTAGATGTTCTTGGGGGCTTCCCCGGGGCTGCCCCGGCCCATGGCGTAGAAGGCTATGGGTTCATCAGGCTCGTTGTAGATAGGGTTGGGGGGCCTGGGGGGTGAGGCCGGGCAGCGGCGTGGAGCAGGGCTTGTGTAGAGTTCTGTGGGCAGCTGAGGTTTGGTGGGGATGGGAGGCTTGGGCCTGAGTGTCTGGGAGGGCTAGGAGAGGTGAGGCCAGGAAAGAGGGGAGCGAGGGAGGCAGGGTTAACACCCCAGCGGGGTTAAAGCCCTAGCCTAACTCCCAGCTGAGCCTCCGCCTGCTACGCCCCTCCTCTTCCCTGCTGCTTGCACCCCCTCGCAGGCCTCTCCTCCTCTTCCCTCAGCCCCTTCAGCCCAATACCTCTTTCTCCTCGACCCCCTCTTTCTGCATCGGGACTGGGGCATGCCCCTGCTTGATGATTGGGCTGTACTGGGGGTTTGGGTCCTGGCTTTTGCTTTCAGAGTCTGATTCTTCGGTCCTCAGGGAAAGTCCTGAAGGCTCAGGAGTCTGCTGGGAAAGGAGGAGGTCTGAGGGACTTGGCGGGGCATTGGGGAGGGGGAGGTGATCAGGAGAACAAAATCATCAGGTCTAAGTGGAGGATGGGGGGTGGGATGGGCACAGAAATTTGGACTGGGCTGGGTTTTCCGGATGAGGAAGAGGGAACGGAGATGGTGAGGAGACCCTGGGTTGGGTGGAGGCAGTGCTGAACTCTGGTCACAGGCCATATCTAGCGTTAAACTTTTTCTTTTTTAAGATAAAGTCTTACTCTGTTGTCCAGGCTGAAGTGCAGTCTCAGCTCACTGCAGCCTTGACCTCCTGGGCTCAAGCCATCCTCTCGCCTCAGCCTCCCAAGTAGCTGGGACTACAGACATGTGCTGCCACACCGGCTAATTGTGTTTTCATTTTTTATAGAGATGAGGTCTCATTATGTTGCCCAGGCTTGGTCTTGAACTCTTGGGCTCAAGCGATCCTCCCACTGCAGCCTTCCATTGTAGGATTACGGGCGTGAGCCACCACACTTGGCTGCATTAAACTTAATTGCATCTGGAACACAGGGCCAGGCCAGATTCCATTTGCGCCTGTGGTTGTGAAAATGCAACAGGACTTTACATGTCTTTTTTTTTTTTTTCTCTATTTCCTAGCTATCCTCTACACTGTAGGCCTTACACGTCTTTAGCTGAAAAATTATTGGCATGGGGACCAATCTCTATGAAAGCTGTGTTTGTGTTTATTTCTGCACTGCTGGTTAATTTATGGAGTTATAAACAAATTTTTTTTTTTGAGACCAAGTCTCACCCTGTCGTCTAGGCTGGAGTGCAGTGTCGTGATCTCGGCTCACTGCAACCTCTGCCTCCCAGGTCCAAGCGATTCTTCTGCCTCAGCCTCCCAAGTAGCTGGGATTACCGGGGCGCGCCACAACATCCAGCTAATTTTTGTATTTTTCAGTAGAGACAGGGTTTCTCCATGTTGGTCAGGCTGGTCTTGAACTCCTGACCTCAGGTGATCCACTGGTCTCGGCCTCCCAAAGTGCTGGGATTACAGGCATGAGCCACCATGCCCAGCCATAAGCTAAAATTTTTAAGACCACCTCAGGAGAGAGGATCCCCACGTGGGATGGTTCCATCTCACAGAGGGTGTGCTTTTAGCTCAGCGTTCATTAGCCCTTGGTCAATGAATGCCGTCCCAATGCCCACTGCCACTGTAGGCTAAGGTCACAGGGCTTTTCTCGCGCTCCTGCTATCCACCAAGTGCCCGTCTCCATCGGGAGGTGTACTGTAGGTGTACTGCGGAATCCAAAGAATTCTTTTCCCTGCCCTAACCCCCTCCTCTCTCAGTATGTCCTTTCTGAATAAAAAGTGACATCTCCACCCTGCTGCCAAAATAGCACCTTAGGAGTCAGCCTTGATGGCTGCACCTCCCTCCCGACATGAACTCATACACAAGTCCTGCTCCTTCCACTGTCTGTTGTTCACATCTGTGTACTTTTCTCCATGCACATGGCCAGCACCTTAGTTCAGGCTCCTGACTCCTCTCCTTGCATCGTCTTGTCCTTCCAGCCCACTCAGTTTTGTTCCTTGCTGTTTTTCCAGTGCCCAGAAGGTTGCCTGGCACAGAATGGCCCCTCAGCACTGCCTGAACTTGTGCACCACTGCCTGCTAGGCTAAAGGGCACCCTGGGTTTCCTCTTGAATCACACTTTCCACATTGGATTTCTATTACTTGTCCATTTTTGCTGCTAGAAAGTAAGCTTTGTGAGTTTGAGACCCACCTGTCAGTCTTGTTCATGGGTCTATTCCCAGGGCCTGCCAGCACTTGGAAGGGCCTAAGTACTTTGTAAATATCTCTTACATTAAAAAAAAAAAAAAAAAAATGACTAGGCTGGGCGCTGTGGCTCACGCCTGTAATCCCAGCTACTCGGGAGGCTGAGGCAGGAGAATCACTTGAACCCGGGAGGCGGAGGTTGCAGGGAGCAGCGATCACGGCCCTGCACTCAAGCCTGCGCAACAGTCTCAAACAAAACAAAACAAAACACACACAAAACCCCAAATGACTGTGTGTGCCCCTGGTTTCTCCTTGCCCATCTATCTCCGTGTGGCTGGGCTGGCCTCTCAAGGACGGCCCCCCCTCACCAGCATTCACGCTTCTCGAAGGGCCTCCCCCGAGGATGAAGGTGCTCGCGTAAGGGAGGCCTGGCCGGTGGTGGTTCGGGATGAGAAAGTGCCTAGTGCCGCGTCCTGCGCCTGGGCTCTGGGTGGGAGGGGCGCTGGCCTGAGACCCGGGCTCTAGGGTCAGGGTCTGGGGCGCGTACCTGGCGGGCAAGGGGCTCGGTGAGCGTCTCCCCGTAGGGGCTGAGCGGGTGCGCCGTGTAGTGCCGCAGCAGGTCCTGCAGCCGCGCGTGGGCGCTGTCCTCGCCCAGCACCACGTGGCGCCCGTCCCCGAGCTGGGCCAGCAGGAAGTGGCGGCAGCAAGTCCGGCTCCTGGAGGGCGCCGTTAGGGATCAGACTGTCTCCCTCTCCTCGGCCTGGGCCACGAGCGCGAGGCGTGACCCCACCTCAGCAGCCCGGGGACTGAGCGGAGAGCCCCGCTCCTCCCGGGATCAGCCCCAGGCCCCGCCCCTCCGACGAGCCCGAGCCCCGCTGGGCGACCTCGCCCCTCACCTGTAAGTCAGCACGAAGGTCACCGCGCTCTCGCTGAACCGCACCAAGTAGCATCCCTGAGGCTTGGGTTCCAGCAGCCTCTCTGCCTCCCTGTGGGTGACAGAGAGAGGGGGCCGAACCCTGCTCTGACACTTCCAGCCTCGCCTCCGTCTCCCCGGCTCTCACGAGGAACCCCTACCCGCAAGCGAGCATTCTGGAGCGGCTAGAGGAGGGCTAGGGTTGAGATGGGGAGAGAGAACATGTGGGCGCTGCTCTCCCGCTGCAGGGACTGGGCGTGGACAGGGGCCAGGGGTCCCATTCAGGAGACCCCCCGCATCCTCCTCTAGCCTCATCCTGGAAGGGCAGCCTGCAGGGGCTGCTACTGCAGCAACAGGGATGGGATAGTAGTTGGACTTGCAGATTTCAGAAGTCAAAGCTGAACTGAGGAGGGTCATAGGAGAGAAGTGAGGCTGAGAAATGGGGGAGGGAGGATCTGCAAGGGTGGAAGAAGAGAGGCCTGGGAGGTAAAGATGGAGTAAGTCTGGAAGGAGAGAGAGCTGGAAAATACCAGCATTCAAGGCCTAGGGACAGGAGGATAATGGAGCCTAGAGAGGGGAAACTGAGGCACAGAGCGGGCTGGATTGGAGCCTCTCCAATGATCTCCCCTGGAGAAATGCCTCAGTGAAAGGTCTGGGAAACTCTGGGAGTGGCAGCCTGCAGCAGGTGCGTCCATCTACTCCACACTAGTGGGAGTGGGGGGCTTCATCTATTCGTGGCAGGTGGCAGGACCCAGACCCGGGACTTGCCCTGCCCCTGTCTGGGCTGATTTCCTCCTCCGTGACTCACCTCCGGGTGATGAAGCCATGGAACCAGGTAGGGGCTGCCCCGTGCTGCAGGAGACAGTGGGCCTGGGTCTTCTGGAACCAAGCCCAGATCTCGGCCTGCAGGGACAGGCTTCCTTTCCCAGGCACCTCCTCTGCCCTCTCAGCATTCTCTCGGATGGAGGCAGCCTCTGGGGCCTGGGGAGATGCCTGGATGGGGGAAGATTCAAGGAGAGGGAAGCAGCATGATGAGCGGGCTTTCTCCTGACTTCCAGCCACCTGCCATCTTCTCTTCCTCATACCCAGCCTTTCCTGCCTATTTTAGGGTCCAATTGCCCAGAAAGTCCTTCCTAAAGTCTAACATAAAACCCTTTGTCAGCTCCAGCTGTTGTGGCTTCCAGAGATTCTCCTCTGCCATCTGGGGCCTGAGTTCTTTTAATCCAGCAGCAGTGAGCTGTCATGCTGTCTAGGAGGGGCGGGAAAGGCAGCATGGCCTTCCAGATGGACAGAGTCATTCCTCGGCCTCCAGGATGCAGGGACATGATGCAAGAAGTCACCCAAGAGGCCAGAATGAGGGAGGGGCTTATTCCACAATATGAGGGACCGAGCTAATTCGCAGGGAAAGTTCTTGATGGAGCAGGAGAGAAGGGCTGAGATGGGAACATGGAATGCACTGGGCACATGAAGGCCTCTGACACAGAGTGCCAATGGCTGCTTCTGGGACTCCATGCGCTGGACCCTGGTCATCTGCGGACTCAGCCTGAGCTGCCGGAGGGCCTAGGAGCATCGAGGGGGTGAGTGGGAAACTCAGTGCATGAAGGAGGTACTCGCCATTTTCATTCTCTCCCTCTGTGCCCCAGGTTGTTGGCAGAACTGGATCATTCCTGCCTTCTCTCGGGTGGCCTTTGTCCATCTGCAAGTCCTTACCCTGGGAGGACGGGAGAGAAGAGGGCCCTGCACCCCTCTGCCGCCCCAGGTTTCCACTCACCGCGGTGTAGCCCAGGCCCTGGCAGCTCCTGCGGGTCATGTCCGTGGGCTTGAAGGTGCTGAAGGTTGGGACGGGGACTTCGTGACTCCCTGTGAGTGAAAAGACGGCTGCTGGGGTTTCTCAGAGACGGACTGTGTGTATCTCAGCCTGACCACCTGTCCCCCAAGGCTCCGGGGACCTGGAGGGCTGGGACAGTCTTAAAGACAGAAAAAACGCAGGAGGGCAGCAGGGGAGTTTCTCAGGCATGAGGATAAGGAGCCAAGGTGGCATGGGGTTGGGGGTGGGGGGTGGGGGCTAATGCTGCCAGAGGAAGCTGTCAGGGACACCAGGTGCCTAGAAGGAAAGTCTGGGAACCAGGCTGGCCTTTGGATGGTCAGGGAGGCAGATCGCTTCAGGGCAGGCCCCTCTTCTGGTCCAGGGTCTTTGCCTCCTCCTCCCTTCATCCTCCTGCTCCCTCCTCTCTCCTCTCTGAGAAGCACTCAACAAACCTGTCACCTTTATCCTCAGGGATGAGTGAGCACGGAGTCCCAGGCAGGGCTGTGGTGCTGAAGGGCCTTGCCAGCTCTGGTTTAGGGTGGGGCCCCTCATCCCTGAAGTGGGAGCTCCGGCCCTGGAGACAGGGCAGGGGGGTGGGGGTCTTGGTGCCCCCTCCCACCCATATCCTCCAACTTCACACTTACCTCGGGGACATGTCTGGGCCAGGGGGAGCTCCATGGGGGCAGCCTGACAAGGGACCCCAGAGCAGGGAATGTGTATGTGCTCCGGAAAGGGGTGCACACTCAGCAACTCATCATCTCTCCCCGAGCCCTGGCCCCGGGGGCAGGAAATGTCGCCTTACCCACAGCCTTCGTTCTGGCAGAGGACCCACGTCATGGAAAGCCTTAAGACAATGGTCCCACCCCCGGAAGCTGTGCAGCTGTAGATAGCGGTGGTGTAGCGGTGGGGGTATCTGTGTCACTCTGTGTTTAGGTGTTAGGAAGTCCTTACTGCTATCTGACCTCCATCCCTGCAGATTCTTTCTCTGCTCCCTCATCGCAAACTAGAACTTCCCTTTCTCTCTCTCTCTCCCCCCCATACTGTTTCTCTCTCATCTCTCTTGGCTTATATTTCTTTCTCTCTGGAAAATCTCCCCCTCTGCCTCTTGGCCTGTTCTGTAGTGGGAATGGGGATGTTACTGTCACGGATAAGCCACACAAGGTGCTCACTGATTATGCTTTGAGGTGACATGAGGAAGGGAGGGGGCAGGGTTGCAACATGAAGGATGTGGGTCAGACTTCTGGAAGGACTTTTTGAGGACATATGAAATCTATGAGTCTGGGCGTGGTGGCTCATGCCTGTAATCCCAGTACTTTGGGAGGCTCAGCCAAGAGGATTGCTTGAGCCCAGGAGTTCATGCTCAGCCTGGGCAACATAGTGAGACCCCATCTCTATTTTTTAAAAATTAAAAAAGAAATCTGTGAGACAAGGAGTTAGAGAGGAGGGGGCCTGGCTTCCATCATTCAGCAGATAATGGAGCTGAGTTAGGTCAAGACCAGGCAATCCTGGAGGAAGGAAGGAGAATTCCTCCAACTAAGCAGGTCATCATTAGTATCAACGCTATCAGCAGTTGTTGTTAATGGCATCAGTGCTGGTGTCTTCTGTTTGTTTGTTTGAGACAGAGTCTAGCTCTGTCACTCAGGCTGGACTGCAATGGCACAATCTCAGCTCCCTGCAACTTCCACCTCCCAGGTTCAAGGGATTCTTGTGCCTCAGCCTCCCGAGTAGCTGGGATCATGCCTGGCTAATTTTTGTATTTTTAATAGAGAGGCGTTTCTATGTTTGCCAGGCTGATCTTGAACTCCTGACCTCAAGTGATCCACCCGCCTCTGCCTCCCAAAGTACTGGGATTACGGGCATGAGCCACTGTGCTGGCCGGTGCTGATGTCTTAAACTTCCAGTGTACTTAGACTTCCCGCCACACCAAAGGACCAATCCCATCTCTCTTTGAATTGATCCTCACAGACTAAGAAGGGGACAGGAACATTGTCCCTATTTACCAGAAGGGTAAACTGAAGCTCAGAGAAGTGCCTTGACCAGAGTCTTTCGGTGTTTGAGAAGTTGGTGTGAGTGCTGGGACTAGAAGCTAGACTTCCTTTCACTAATTTCACTGTGATTTAGGCCGAAGGTTCATGACTATGTGCTATGCCCAGATGGACTTGCCAAGGCATACTGCTTTTTTTTTTTTTTTTTTTTTTTTTTTTGTTGTTGTTTTTTTTTTTTTTTTTTTTTTTTTTTGAGACGGAGTTTCTCTCTTGTTACCCAGACTGGAGTGCAATGGCGCGATCTCGGCTCACCGCAACCTCCGCCTCCTGGGTTCAGGCAATTCTCCTGCCTCAGCCTCCTGAGTAGCTGGGATTACAGGCACGCGCCACCATGCCCGGCTAATTTTTTGTATTTTTAGTAGAGACGGGGTTTCACCATGTTGACCAGGGTGGTCTCGATCTCTTGACCTCGTGATCCACCCGCCTCGGCCTCCCTGGGATTACAGGCGTGAGCCACCGCGCCCGGCGACATACTGTTTTTGAAAAAAAATTGTGTACTGTTCTCTTCCTTTATAAAACATGTTCTACATTTTCAATTTTGAGGTACAGCTGGGTTTTGGTTACATGGATAAGTTATCTAGTGGTGATGTCTGAGATTTTAATGCACCCAAGCAGTGTCTTTGTGTCCTCATAGCTTAGCTCCCGCTTATAAATGAGTTTTCCGTTCCTGAGTTACTCCACTTAGAATAATGGAGCCCCCAGCTCCATCCAAGTGCTGCAAAAGACATTATTTCATTCCTTTTTATGATTGAGTAGTATTCCATGGTGCATATATCCCACATTTTCTTTATCCACTCGTTGGTTGATGGGCATTTAGGTTGGTTTCACATCTTTGCAATTGCAAATTGTGCTGCTATAAACATGCATGTGCTTATGTCTTTTTTATAGAGTGATTTCTTTTCCTTTGGATAGACACCCACTAATGGGATTGCTGGATATAATGGTAGTTCTATTTTTAGTTCTTTAAGGAATCTCCATACTGTTTTTCATAGTGGTTGTACAAATTTACATTCCTGCCAGTAATGTAAAACTGTTTTTCCCTTTTCACCACATCTATGCCAACATCTATTTGTGTGTGTGTGTGTGTGTGTGTGTGTGTGTGTGTGTGTGTGTGTGTGTTTGTGTTTGAGATGGAGTCTCACTCTGTCGCCCAGGCTGGAGTGCAGAGGTGTGATCTCGACTCCCTGCAACCTCTGCCTTCCAGGTTCAAGTGATTCTCCTGCCTAAGCCTCCCAAATAGCTGGGACTACAGGTGACTGACACCATACCCAGCCAGCTTTTGTATTTTTAGTAGAGACAGGGTTTCACCATGTTGGCCAGGCTGGTCTCAAACTCCTGATCTCAGGTCATCCCCCTGCCTCAGCCTCCCAAAGTGCTGGGATCACAGGCATAAGCCACCACAGCTGGTCACATCTATTGTATTTTGACTTTTTAATTATGGCCATTCTTACAGAAGTAAGGTGGTATTTCATTGTGGTTTTAATTGGCATTTCCCTGATGATTAGTGATATTGAGCATTTTGTCATATGTGTTTGGGCTGTTTGTATACCTTTTTTGAGAAATGTCTATTGATGTCCTTTGCTCACTTTTTGATGGGATTGTTTTTTTCTTGCTGATTTGTTTGAATTCCTTGATTCCGGACACTAGTCTTTGTTTGTCCTGTAGGAACTGATGCACAGTTTGAGAATGTTTTCTCCCACTCCGTGGGCTGTGTGTTTACTCTGCTGATTAGTTTTTTTGCTATGCAGAAGCTTTTTAGTTTAATCAGGTCCCATTTATTTGTTTTTGTTTTTGTAGCATTTGCTTTTGAGGTCTTAATCATGAATTCTTTGCTTAAGCCAATGTCCAGAAGCGTTTTTCTGTTGCTATCTTCTGGAATTTTTATGGTTTCAGGCCTTAGATTTAAGTCTTTAATCCATCTTGAGTTGATTTTTGTGTAAGGTAAGACATGGGGAATCAGTTTCATTCTTCTACATGTGGCTTGCCAGTTCAACACCATTTATTGAACAAGGTGTCCTTCCCCAATTTATTTATTTGCTTATTTTTTAAGACATGGTCTCACTCTGTCACCCAGGCTGGAATGCAGTGGCACAAACTCAGCCCACTGCAGCCTCAACCTCCTGGGCTCAAGCGAGCCTCCCACCTTAGCCTCCCAAGTAGCTGGGACTACAGGCATGAGCCACCATACATGGCTAATTTTTGTACTTTTTGTAGAGACAGAGTTTTGCCACGTTGCCCAGGCTGGTCTTGAACTCCTGGGCTCAAGCCATCTGCCAGCTTTGGCCACCCAAAGTGCTGGGATTATAGGTGTGAGCCACTGCACCCAGCCCTCTAATTTACATTTTTGTGTGCTTCGTCAAAGCTCAATTGGCTGTATATATTTGACTTTATTTCTGCGTTCTCTATTCTGTTCCATTGGTTTACGTGTCTATTTTTATACCAGTACCCCCACAAAGGGTTGTTCCCCAGATGGTGCCTTCCTGAGCCTTCAACAGGCCACTCCATCATTCTATCATGCTGATTAATTATGGGTGATGGGGCAGGACCAGCTCACCCTGTGATTGAAAGCCTGTTGTGCCTCTCCACTGTGAAATGGGTTCTTTGGTCTGAGGCACTGTGCTGTGGGATACCATGTGGGGAAAGCAGGCATTCTGTAGGCACGTGGAGGCTGCTGCTGGAGTTTGTAATAATTCTGGTAAGGACGAATCACTGCTCCCCCAAAAGAGGAAGGGCTCTGATGTCATCAACCTGCCACCGTATGGCTGGATGTTTTCTCTCCCTACTGAGGAATAGTACCAGGAATAGGGTTCAGCGTCAGTCTCTGCTACAAGCAAGTTGGGTGCTTAGCTGTAGCTCTGTACGTTAGTGAGAAGGTGTCCACGATCTTGAGCTCTGAGAAGCCACCAAGTCCACTATGTTGATCAGCCCATTGTGCCAGCACTGGGGGTACAGGTGGCTGAAGGGAAAGGCCGGCTAACATCTACAGGATGAGTTATCCTGCCCAACGGGTTGTTGACTGCCTCCCTGGTGACAGATGCTCTTTGGTGAGCATTAATGTGAGTCCCAAAGATCTACACCCTGTGTGCCCACTTCCATAGCCCATCTGCCAGGGCTGGGACTGGATGAGGCAAGGAGGTTCCTAGGGAGGCCCTCATCCTTAGGTTGTGCAAATGCTCCCTCGTCCCAGCCCCGCCATACCCTATGTTTTTCCCAGATCTTCTTTTCTCAGTCTTTCCATTTTATTTATTCCTTTCAGAGCCCTGTCCAACTGGCTAGGCCAGGTGCCACTTCCCTGTAGTCAGTGCATATTCTTACCCTGGACTATGGCTCCCCATGTGCAAAATAGATGAACAGCTATATGCTTGCAGCTCTGATGTCTGGTAGGATTTTCCTTTACCGTTGTCCTTCAGGGACCTCCTGAGTGCACGACACTGCTGCTAGTGCCAGCATATGATGCTGGCACATTTATCAGTTGGTTATATGGACCCCCTGCCCACCACTGCCCAGAGGTCACACATGCGGATTGAAGCAGCAGTAGTATAATAGAGGCAGGTGATTTGGGGACCTGGGCCACCACCTGCTCATGCAATTTACTTATGTGTTCTGAACCAGCTTGAGCCTGGTTCGAATGTATCCCTCCCAACACATACTGGATTGCTCCCTTGCATGTCCAACCCTATGACCCATCATTTAGCTTAGGATGGCCTTCTCAGGCTGATGGTCATTTGGTGTCCATCGGTCAGGCAGTTAGTCTCCGTGAGGGCCCAAGAGCATGCTGTGGCTGTTTTTCAGAGTGTAATTCTTTGTCAGAGAGAGGATGACATCTTTGTCAGAGATGACATGGGAGGGTTGTTCTGGAACCCTAGGGCATGTGCTGCAGTTCTCCCTGGGAGCTCACCAAAGACTCCATCCTTTATCCACCAGGGTGGTGCCAGCATCACTGGACATGCTGGGTCACATAGCTCAGGAGGCAGAGCAGCTTGTGCCACAGCCTGAACTTCAGTAGGGACTTTCCCCCTTCCCCCTTCCCCCTTCCCCCTTCCCCCTT